TCAAGATAATGTGCTTCCTCTGAAAACTACCCCTCGTTACAGATAACTCAAGATAATGTGCTTCCTCTGAAAACTACCCCTCGTTATAAATAACTCAAGATATTGTGCTTCCTCTGAAAACTACCCCTCGTTACAAATAACTCAAGATAACGTGCTACCTCTGAAAACTACCCTCGTTATAAACAACTCAAGATAGCATGCTACTTCTGAAAACTACCCCTCGTTATAAATAACTCAAGATAACGTGCTACTTCTGAAAACTACCCTCGTTATAAACAACTCAAGATAGCATGCTACTTCTGAAAACTACCCCTCGTTATAAATAACTCAAGATAAGGTGGAACTTGTGAAAGCGACTCTTCATTATCTTGATTTGATTTTATGTTTTGAACATTTACAGACTTGTTATTAAAAGCTGATTTTCCAGAATGTTTACATATAACACTTTCCTCAGTAAGAACGAAACGTTTTTGCGCAAGTCCTACCTGTGGCTAACTTCTGAGTGTATTCCTTGTTTTCCACGATATAGTCCAGGCCAATCCGAGAGTCCATGACGGCACGCACACACTTAACACACTCCAGTTGAGTATAAGCCTCTAAAAACCCACTGTAACCTCGTTCACAGAGTCGATGGAGAGAATCCAGAAGCAAGGCTAATCCGTCACTCTGGAGAAACACTTCTAACCACTGGCGCTCTGCTTGTTCTAATCGCCGCCTCAGGCTGGAGTACGCTTTGGCGGATGACTTTCCGAGCGCTTGGATATGATGGCCGGTGTCGTCGTTGGCACTAGTAATTTCCTTACGTGAAATGTTGATAAAGCAGGCTCGCCAACGCCGTGTTGCCTCACTGTATGCGTGGGGAGAGGAGTTCTCCGACGGGTCTGTCTTAGTGACAAGTAGCGGTACAAGTCCGGTTACCACCATGTCTCCCGGTCGGCGGCTTCAGGGCAGCGGACCAAGACTGGTTACTAGACGAGTAAAGAAAAACACATTAACTCCGTCATGCTGAGATCAATGTGTCGAAAAAAAAATACAAAAACTCTAAAAAATGTCTGAAAGGCAATGAATATCGTATTACAATTACTCCACAGAATTATAATTAAATGTTTTTGTTCCGCAAGCGACTATTACGTCACATGCCTCTACTACTGACGTCACATGTCACTTCAGCGTACAGTATGCACCCCCCTTATGATGTCACATGTCGCTCAATCCTACTCTAAGCACCTAATTATAACGCTCAGTGTCACTCCAGCGGCTCTTCAGTGGCATGTCGCCGGACTTACAACACTAGAAACCGGGTTTCGATACCTATGGTGGGCAGAGCACGGATAGCCTACTGTGTAGTTTTGTGTTTAAACACACAAACGCTCCATTATGACGTCAAATTTCGTTCGGTCATAGAATAAGCACCTACTTATAACGCTCCTTGTCGCTTCAGTGTAAAATATGCACCTTCCTATGACGTTACATGAGGACCCTGCCTTCATTAAACACCT